GATGTTATCAACAAATTTTGTTGAAAATAAGAAAAAGTTTTGGAGTGAGATTAACAAGTTAAGAAAGCCTAGAGAACAAATGGATTTGTCAGTTAAAAATAGCAGAGGAGAGTTATTAAATGGAGAGTTAGAGGTATTGGGAAGATGGAGGGAATATTTTGAGGAATTGTTAAATGTTTGATGAAGATAGGGAAGCTGTGATTTCGTGTATAGGGCAAGGAGGAACAACATCTTGTAGTAGGAGTGAGGAAGAGCCAGTTGTGAGTGTGGGGGAAGTTTGTGAGGCAGTAGGTAAAATGAAAGGGGGTAAGGCAGCCGGGATTGATGGGATAAAGATAGAAATGTTAAAAGCAGGTGGGGATATAGTTTTGGAGTGGTTGGTGCAATTATTTAATAAATGTATGGAAGAGGGTTTAAAGGTACCTAGGGATTGGCAGAGAGCATGCATAGTTCCTTTGTATAAAGGCAAAGGGGATAAAAGAGAGTGCAAAAATTATAGGGGGATAAGTCTGTTGAGTATACCTGGCAAAGTGTATGGTAGAGTTATTATTGAAAGAATTAAGAGTAAGACGGAGAATAGGATAGCAGATGAACAAGGAGGCTTTAGGAAAGGTAGGGGGTGTGTGGACCAGGTGTTTACAGTGAAACATAAGTGAACAGTATTTAGATAAGGCTAAAGAGGTCTTCGTGGCATTTATGGATTTGGAAAAGGCGTATGACAGGGTGGATAGGGGGCAATGTGGCAGATGTTACAGGTGTATGGTGTAGGAGGTAGGTTACTGAAAGCAGTGAAGAGTTTTTACGAGGATAGTGAGGCTCAAGTTAGAGTATGTAGGAAAGAGGGAAATTATTTCCCAGTAAAAGTAGGCCTTAGACAAGGATGTGTGATGTCACCGTGGTTGTTTAATATATTTATAGATGGGGTTGTAAGAGAAGTAAATGCGAGGGTCTTGGCAAGAGGCGTGGAGTTAAAAGATAAAGAATCACACATAAAGTGGGAGTTGTCACAGTTGCTCTTTGCTGATGACACTGTGCTCTTGGGAGATTCTGAAGAGAAGTTGCAGAGATTGGTGGATGAATTTGGTAGGGTGTGCAAAAGAAGAAAATTGAAAGTGAATACAGGAAAAAGTAAGGTTATGAGGATAACAAAAAGATTAGGTGATGAAAGATTGGATATTCAGATTGGAGGGAGAGAGTATGGAGGAGGTGAATGTATTCAGAAAATTTGGGAGTGGACGTGTCAACGGATGGGTCTATGAAAGATGAGGTGAATCATAGAATTGATGAGGGGAAAAGGGTGAGTGGTGCACTTAGGAGTCTGTGGAGACAAAGAACTTTGTCCTTGGAGGCAAAGAGAGGAATGTATGAGAGTATAGTTTTACCAATGCTCTTATATGGGTGTGAAGCATGGGTGATGAATGTTGCAGCGAGGAGAAGGCTGGAGGCAGTGGAGATGTCATGTCTGAGAGCAATGTGTGGTGTGAATATAATGCAGAGAATTCGTAGTTTGGAAGTTAAGAGGAGGTGCGGGATTACCAAAACTGTTGTCCAGAGGGCTGAGGAAGGGTTGTTGAGGTGGTTCGGACATGTGGAGAGAATGGAGCGAAACAGAATAACTTCAAGAGTGTATCAGTCTGTAGTGGAAGGAAGGCGGGGTAGGGGTTGGCCTAGGAAAGGTTGGAGGGAGGGGGTAAAGGAGGTTTTGTGTGCGAGGGGCTTGGACTTCCAGCAGGCATGCGTGAGCGTGTTTGATAGGAGTGAATGGAGACAAATGGTTTTTAATACTTGACGTGCTGTTGGAGTGTGAGCAAAGTAACATTTATGAAGGGGTTCAGGGAAACCAGCAGGCCGGACTTGAGTCCTGGAGATGGGAAGTACAGTGCCTACACTCTGAAGGAGGGGTGTTAATGTTGCAGTTTAAAAACTGAAGTGTAAAGCACCCTTCTGGCAAGACAGTGATGGAGTGAATGATGGTGAAAGTTTTTCTTTTTCGGGCCACCCTGCCTTGGTGGGAATCGGCCAGTGTGATAAAAAAAAAAATCATGGGGGAGCGCTAAACCCGTAGGATTATACAGCACATGTGGGGGGCGGATGGAAGGTATTCAGGCTTAAGTCAGGGAACTGGAGCACAGATCCAATTCCTTAGATCAAGAGCCCCTCACCAGAATCAAGGAACCTCGCTTGAGGGCCTTAGAAATGGAAAAATCAGAGAAGAGTTTAGTTTAATATGTTTATTATGCACCCCATACCCATCCTGTGGGCGGTAGTCAAAAGATTACAGAGGTACATAATGGGTCCAGGGACTGGACCCCAAAGTTATGATAGCTGAACTAGTTACAAAGGTAATGAACTCCAGGTAGATCTGGTCACAATCATGGCAAGTTACAAAGGTAATGAACTCCAGGTAGATCTGGTCACAATCATGGCAAGTTACAAAGGTAATGAACTCCAGGTAGATCTGGTCAGAAAACAGCCTTGTATCATGGCAAAACTTTCCCTTTCTATGTTTTTAAGTGCATATTCTTAAGTATTTTTATATACCCGGACTTGAGTCCTGGAAATGGGAAGTACAATGCCTGCACTCTAGAGGAGGGGTTCGGGATATTGACAGTTTGGAGGGATATGTTGTGTATCTTTATACGTATATGCTTCTAAGCTGTTGTGTTCTGAGCACCTCTGCAAAAACAGTGATTATGTGTGAGTGAGGTGAAAGAGTTGAATGATGAAAGTATTTTCTTTTTGGGGATTTTCTTTCTTTTTGGGTCACCCTGCCTCGGTGGGAGACTGCCAACTTGTTAAAAAAAAAAATTCTTAAGTAGCATCAAAAATAGTTCAAACTGAATTTTTTTTTGGTAAAGTTCAGTTATTTTTCATAATTTATGGTTATTTTAGTTATTTCTTGTAATTATGGGTCATTTTTTCATTATTTTTGACAACTTTCAGTTATTTTTTGTAATTTTTAGGTATTTTAATTTTTCGTTATTTTCCATAATGAATAGTCTTAATGAAAATATTAGCTTCCTCGATTAGGAATTATGTATGGTATGTGGAAATTAAGATGCAAATTTTCGTCCCTTATTTATGATTTAAAGTTTTCAGAGCCAGTTTTTTCTCATAATTAGGGAGCAATACAGTTTGCTATTTAATAGCACTGTGCAGTTTTTGTAGCTATTGTATTTTTTCTTAGTACATGTAGTACATTAAATTAATTCCACAGTATGAGCCACTGGCACAGGTGGCTTTTCATTAACTTGATTCACGAAATCGTAATGACATGATTGCAAACAGACCATACCACGGGCGGGGTTAGAACCTGCGATCAGAGAGTCTCAGAACTGGAGTTTTGAGACTCTCTGATCGCGGGTTCTAACCCCGCCCGTGGTATGGTTTGGCTTTTCATTGCTGTTGTGAAGGAGCACTGCTTTCAAACTGACCTTACTGGAATCTGTGAAGAGTTTTCATTCATCGGAATGTTTATAGCCCAGTTCCTTTGTAAGATTATTCACATTAGTGCAGAAATATAAACCATTCTCCAATTACCAGTATTTTTTCTTTTTTCAAAGGGGGGTATGCTGAATAATTGTCAGGTGTTAACTGTGGTGTACAGTGCTGTGAGCATGCGATACTCTTGAGATAGTGGCCTTATGCAAAATTTTAGGCATTTCAAAGGTTTTAATATTAAAAATTTTAAGGAGTGAATTTTAGTTTGCAAATAAAATGAAGCCACCACTGTTTAACACCGAATTTATAAGGGAGGAGACAAAAAAAAGGCAGGAATAAATAAGGAAAGATAAAGAATGGAAAATACAGTATCTGTTGCAAAGGAAGTGTGGGGGTCGTGAGAATTATAGGACATAAGGTGGAGATACATATTAAATTGATTTATACAATAAATACTAGTCTGTATAGTGCTAGACCTCATTAACTTTTGGGGGTCATGAGTGAAATGTAAAAATTAAAAAGTGGTTATCCATAAGGTAAGACAATGGATGAAAATAAAATCACTTGTATTATACTGTTCTATATAAGCCATTTGTAAGATCTTCCTTCTTTTTCTCATATTCTTTCTTCTTCAGCTTGGAAATACACATTTGTCACTTACAAGTGAATTGAAAGAACCCATTGCATGGGTGAAACATCAATATATAGAGCCCATTGCATGGGTGAAACATCAATATATAGAACCCATTGCATGGGTGAAACATCAATATATAGAACTCATTGCATGGGTGAAACATCAATATATAGGACCCAGTGCATAAGAAAAACATCAATAAATGATCTCATTACACTGCATTTGTACTTTTCCATCATGTCTGAATTGTATACCATTTCTCTCATTCAATTTATTTAAAAACCTATTGATAAACTTTTGTTACAAAATAGAACAAAGGTAGTTAATGGCAATTAATGGCATATTACATCTAATTTTTTGCATATTCATCTTTAAAAATTTTTAAGCCAAAATCTACTTAAATTATTGTTGGAAAGTTTGGAAATTGAATTATTGCTGGAAAGTTTGGAAGTTATGTTTTCTTGTAAACTGATAACTCAAGATTTGAGCTACAGTATTCCTTATTTGTTGTGTAGCTTGAAGTAGAAAAATTTTCTCTTGTGATTAGTGTTAATATTACACCATTTTCTTTCTTGAAGTAACATTAATTTTTAGTGCCTTTCAGGAAATTCTTTAGGACTATTTTTGCCTTTCAGGAAATTCTTTAGGACTATTTTAAATGTATTCTTCAAAGACCCTGGTTTGTAATACAGTACTATAACTTTTCTTAAGACTTAATATTGTACTTTATATTAGTTTTGCACAGGAAGTGGGCTTGTCAGATATTTATTTTTAGCTTTCTCTTTTATTATTATAGTCAATTTTAAGATTTTTCATTTCAAGACCTTGTAAACTACTGGTAAGTCACTACAGTTAGTAGTGAAAGAGGCTACTTAAAATAGTGACTTTTCATTCTGATGGGCCATAATTTTTTTTCATTTGGCAGATACCCTTGGGCACAGCTATTGTAGGTAGTAATAGTGGTAATAGTAGCATCCAAGCAGCTTCCAGTTCCAGTGGTATCAGCACCAGTACTAACAGCACCAATAGCCCTAGCAGCACACCCACAGTGCGGAAATTAACTAGCTCGCACATGCTTCCTGGGTCAGCAGCCGTGGTGAGTAGAATTAGATCATTAGATAAATACTGTACGTGGCACTACTTGTACCTTTGATCCCATGTGCCGTTGGGTTGACCAAGTACAGCAGTACTCTTCTTGCTTATGAGTTGAAATGATTACACTAGGATCTCATGCTAATAGAGAGCTTGAATTAACCACTCTGCATCTATCCTGTGTGGAATTAGGTTGACAACATACAGCAGAACTCTTCTTGCTCGTGAATTGAATCCATTAGGTTCTTTTATGCTATTAAGGACCTTGATTAAGCAGTGTATCATGACCTCTGAACTACTGGGGGTGGATTGAAATACTTATGGTATACTCTAGAATGTAGGTTAGAGATATTTTATAATCTACACTTACTTGAGTGGGAGGTATGAAAAGGTGCAAGATAGATCCAGTGAAAAGTAGTGGTGTCATAAACACAATTGTTGAACAAGACTTGTTACCTTTACCAGCTGATGTAAAGATTATTGCTGAAACAGATAACGTGACATGTTCCTGCAAGCAGTGCTATGCCAGATCAGCAAAAAATTTGAACACCTTGTTCGTTATTTCATCCGTTCACTTTTGTAAGTTTGTCTTCTGAATGAATAAATAGAAAACAAATATTTTCTAACCCCTGTTGGCCTTAGTCCATACATTTCTCGTGGAAAGCCAAGTGCAGATAATGAAAAATGGACTTAGCTGATAGCTGGAACTTTAAGCTGTATATTCTTGAGATTTTAAATGAGCTACACGAGTCACTTGTTTATGATCTTCAGTACTACTTGTTGCCAGTATTGGTACTGTTTTGAGTAGGAGTTTCTGATCACACGACAAATAAACCTTGGTAAACAAATTTTCCCTGGTAAAATTGACCAACCAATTAGTGCTCTGTGGCCACAAGACACCATCAACTCATCATACCATTCAAAGAAAATGGATGACATCCAATGCAAAATTTGTCTGCAATAAAAGCCCCAGAAATAGGTGGCAATTTCTTGGCAGCAGTTAATTCCTTGTATAAAATAGCTTCAGTGAGTATTGTACATTATCCTACGTTGGTGACCCAAAACTAGCTTCAGAAATTGTATTCACATTAATGTGATTTTAAACAGTATACAGATTTTAAATGGATTTGTCAAACAAGAAAACTTAAAATCCTATACTGTACAAGATACTGCATTGTGTTGCTGGCCTGTCACATAATGAATGTGTAATCTGCAGTCTGCTTAAATCTAATTTGTGTATAGCACAGATGAAGTAGAGCCTAAAGCTCACTTATATTTTACACCTCACACAGTCATGTGCCATCCAGTCTTGTAGAAATAAACAACATAACCTCACACACCAAAGAAGTGGCAAGAGGTAGCTGCCTCTAAACGTGTTCTGATGTGTTTAATTTTTGTTTAGTAAATACTTATTTTAAGATGAAACTGGGGCAGTCTTTGTGTGTGTTTTTTTTTTTGTGTGTGTCTGTTTGTGTTTTTATATGTGCATAGTCATAGGCCACCCTAGTACATTGGAGATGTTACAGTTATATGGGTCATTTGATTTGCTATACCAGTGCCAAAATATTCAAGATCAGACTTTATATTTTTAAAAGCATTATACAGTATAGAAATAAAGTACTATAAAGAATTGAAAAGGCTGCAGTATGCACAGCATTTCAGGCAGACTTACACTAGGCCTAGAACTAAATAATACTAATTGATGACATTGATCTGTTGCTTATTACTAGGTCTTAACAGTAATTTACATTACATGGGTAAGGATTAGTGCTAGAATGCTAAGTAACTATAACACACAATATTACGAGTAATTTTGAGTGGATTGACAATTTTGGTTATAATTGAGTGGTAGAACAATAGTGGTGACAATAACGTATGAACATCTACAATAAATTTACTTAATATAACATTCTAATAATTTCTTTCTTTCTTTCTTTCAACACACCGGCCATATCCCACCGAGGCAGGGTGGCCCAAAAGGAAAAAGGAAAGTTTCTCCTTTTACATTTAGTAATATATACAGGAGAAGGGGTTACTAGCCCCTTGCTCCTGGCATTTTAGTCGCCTCTTACAACACCCATGGCTTGCGGAGGAAGAATTCTGTTCCACTTCCCCATGGAGGTAAGAGGAAATAGACAAGAACTAGAACTAGAAAGAAAATAGAAGAAAACCCAGAGAGGTATGTATATATATGCTTGTACATGTATGTGTAGTGTGACCTAAGTGTAAGTAGAAGTAGCAAGACGTACCTGAAATCTTGCATGTGTATGAGACGGAAAAAAAAAGACACCAGCAATCCTACCATCATGTAAAACATTCTAATCATATTTAGGAAATATTTTTAACAATATTGTTGAAGTAGATGACAGATGTGGAACTTTTTACATCAGGTAGAGAGCACTGTATGTATTTTTGTTTTTTCATTGGCATAGAGCTTAAACAGGTTTTGAGTCAAGTCTGTCATATCCCACTGAGGCAGGGTGACCTAAAAAGAAAAATGAATGCTTTTCTTTTTAAATTTAGTAATGTATACAGTAGAAGGGGTTACTAGCCCCTTGCTCCCGGCATTTAAGTTGTGTCTTACAACACGCATGGCTCAAGGAGGGAGAATTCTGTTCTGCTTTCCCATAGAGTGAGTCAAATACATGGTACAGTATATCAAGGAGGAGATGTTTCTCTTATTGTCTGTGTGTCTGCTGCATCTCTCCAAGTAGAGCTTGAGCTCTGGGTTAATGTTTGTACTGAGTGTCCTGTCTACATATTGTGCATAGTAGTGTGGATATTTTGTATGTTAAGGCAAGGGAATTCATCACTTGCCTTACCCTTGGGCATGATCTACGTACTTCCACATTCATCAAATGTGATACCACCTACAACTGTAGGTGGTATCACAGTTGTTTGTCACATTTGACAAACAACTGTCAACTGTAGGTGGTATTCTTTTCAAGATTGATGGGCCGAGTACATCGACTCAAGGCTGGAGGACTGATTGCCTCAAACTCCTCCTGTTCTTCACCATTCTCCTTTGTATGGACTAATGAAGCCACTGTGTGGCAAAATGTTTCCTCATTAAAGATACCAAGGTGTTGCACATGTCTAATTTATCAACTCTTCCACATCCCGGCCACTCGCATCCAACCCCATGGACTTCCCCAAAGACTCAGTAGCTTCCACACTAAGCATAGGGTCATCAGGGTCAGCCTCAGACCCTTCAAAATCCTTCTCAAGGACACATTCTGGCCACAGTTTTTTTTCCAAGCACAGCTCATCATCCTGGAAGTCACTCCCTGCTAAGCCTTATCTATAAGGCTTATGCAGTTGAGGATATTGAAGTGATTCCTCCAGAACTCTCTTAGGGTCAATTCAGTGTCTGAGGTCGCTTCAAAGCACCTTTGAAACAGTGCTTAGGTGTAGAGTTTTTTGAAGTTTGAAATGACCTGCTGGTCCATGGGCTGGATGAGAGAAGTGGTATTAGGGGGCAAGAACTTCACTGTGATGAAACTAAACAACTCCAACAATTGGTCTTCCAAGTCTGGAGGATGAGTAGGAGCATTGTCCATCACCAGGAGGCACTTGAGTGGCAACTGATTCTCCAGGAGGTATTTCTTTACACTCAGGCCAAACACTTCATTGACCCACTCAATGAAAATTTGCCTCTTGACCCATGCCTTATTGTTAGCCTTCCACATCACACACAATTTACTCTAGTTGACATTTTTTCTTGAACACCTGGGGATTTTCAGAGTGATACACCAGTAAAGGCTTCACTTTGAAATCCCCACTAGCATTACCATAGAAGAAAAGAATTAGCCTATCCTTTAGTCTTGTGTCCTGGCAGTGCCTTTTCCTCCTGCGTGATGTAGGTCCTCTTGGCATTTTCTTCCAAAAGAGGCCTGTTTCATCACAATTGAAGACCTGTTTGGGGAGGAATCCTTCAGCCTCTATGCACTCCTTGAATTCACCAACGAATACTTTGGCCCTATGTTTGTCCGAGGTTGCAGCCTCGCCATGCTTCACCACACTGTGTATGCCAGTTAGCTTCTTGAATTTGTTGAACCAGCCTTTGCTGGCCTTAAATTCACTATTAGCAGCACTCGTCCCAGGCATTTTCCTTGCGAGATCCACATGCAACTGCCTTGCCTTTTTTGCAAAAATTATTGCCTCCAAAACATTATCTCCTGCTAATTGTTTTTCGTTGATCCACACCAACAACAACTTTCTCAGTATCTTTGATTGTTTGCGATCTCTGTTTCGTTAGCACATTTACCCCTTTCACATCCCATACATCCTGGCAAGATCAGCCACGCTTTTGCCACTTTCGTACTTTGCTACGAGTTCTTTCTTGAATTCTATCGTGTATCTCACCTTCTTTATCAAAGGGCTGGCACTTGGAACTTTCTTTGGCCCCATTTATTTAGCAGTCTTGCTCAATAAAAAAGCACAAAGAGCATTGGATTATTACAAAATGTTTCGGGTGAATGTGCGGGGTGATGCTCACTCAACGAGAAATGAAGGCAAACTGAGTCACCAATGCATGAGATGCTTTGTGTGGGCGCTTGAGTGGCTGAGTCACATGGACGTGTTTGGTACGGACCATTTTCAGCTCTATGAAAATCAAGCAGATGTATGAAAACTGGGACAAAATTTCAATGAAAAAAGTCGTTAAAAACCGAGTCCTATGAAAACTGGGGCATACAAAAACCAAGGTTCCACTGTATTTGAACACTTGCTGAGGTTTAATACTTGTTGCTGTGTCCTTTATGCTTAATCTTGTCCTCAGCCGTGTAGGAAGACTCTAACACAAATTCTTGAGGTTTTGGAGAGGTATATTATTAAGAACATAAGAAAGAAGGAACACTGCAGCAGACCTACTGGTCCATGCAAGGCAGGTCCAAGTCTCCTACTGGCTTAAGCTAATGCCCCAACCTAGTCAGGTCAGGTCACATTCACTTAAGGAAGGAGCACGGCATCTGATCTAGTAGCACAAGCTAGTCAGGTCCAACTCACACCCACCCACACCCACTCATATATTTATCTAACATTTTTAAAAATTACACGTCTTAGCTTCTATAACTGTTCTCGGGAGTTTGTGCCACTCATCCACAACTCTATTACCAAACCAGTGCTTTCCTATATCCTTCCTAAATCTGAATTTTTCCAACTTAAAGCCATTGCTGCGAGCCCTGTCTATGTTAGATATTTTTAGCATGCTATTTATATTCCCGGCGGGTGGAAACATTCCGACACGTTTCCTTACACCTGTTGTCCTGTTCACCTAGCAGCAAATAGGTACCTGGGTGTTAGTCGACTGGTGTGGGTCGCATCCTGGGGGACAAGATTAAGGACCCCAATGGAAATAAGTTAGACAGTCCTCGATGACGCACTGACTTTCTTGGGTTATCCTGGGTGGCTAACCCTCCGGGGTTAAAAATCCGAACGAAATCTTATCTTATCTTATCTTATCTTATTCCTGTTTTTCATTTATACACCTCAATCATATCTCCCCTAATTCTACGCCTTTCTAGAGAATGCAGATTCAGGGCCCTCAGTTTATCCTCATAGGGAAGAGCATTTATATCCATTCTGTAATATGGTGACCAAAACTGTGCAGCATAATCTAGATGAGGCCTAACCAAGGATATATAGAGTTGAACAACCTGAGGATTCCTATTATTTATGCTTCTTGATATAAAGCCAAGGATTTTGTTCACTTTATTGCAAATACTTATTCACTGTTGTCTTGGTTTCAGATTACTGCTAACCGGAACTCCCAAATCCTTTTTGCACTCAGTAATATTAAGATCTACATTATTTAGTTTATATGTGGCATGGTTATTTTCCTGTCCATTGTTTAGAACTTTGTATTTGTCTGTATTAAACTGCATCTGCCACTTCTCCGACCACTGCATCATTCTATTCAAATCTTCCTGGAGTGCTCTAATGTCCTCGTCAGAATGAATTCGAGGGCCTATTTTGATGTCATCGGCAAACTTGCTTATGTCGCTATTTATTCCCTCATCAATGTCGTTTATGTAGATTGTGAACAAGGGGCCCCACACTGACTGCTGTGGAACACCGCTCGTGATGCTTCCCCACTCTGAATTTTCCCCATTTATGCAAACACACTGCTGCCTATTTATCAACCATGCCTCTATCCAGGAAAAAATTTCTTCTCCTATTCCCAGTAAACTTTGTTTCACTATTGACCAGAGGTTCTCAATAGGGCTTAGGTCTGGGGAATTGCTTGGCCAGTCATTAAAGAACCTCGCTTCACAGTCCTTAAGCCACTGAACCTACAGATTTGGTGGTATGACACTGTGCACTGTCCTGCATAAAAACCATATCCCCTCACTTGTCAAACGCCGCAAGTAAATTGTCACACAATAACTCCAGGTAATTATACTGGTTCATATACTGACTTTTGGCAAGCACAATGAGTTTACCAACACTCTGAGCACTGAAACATCCCTAAACCATGAGCGAGTCTGGGTGCTTGGGGGTCCCACAGGTGTAGCGCGGGTCTAGCGGGTCACTATCTCTGGGCCGGTACACATGTTTACCATGGTTACAGGTGACAGTGAAGGTTGCTTTAACACTCCAAAGTACTTCAGACCACTGTTGAGGATTCTTGTGAAGATATTTCTTTGCATAATCCAGCCTATGTTTCTTCTGTGGCTTGGAGAGGATTGGTTTCTTAATTGGCGGTGACTACTGTAGCCCATTTCTGACACATGTCTGCTAACAGTTCTTACAGACACCTCTGAGAAAAGATGTGGGTTCCTTTCTTTTGCTTCTCTAGCAGTAATCTTAAATGTACACGTACTCTCTAACTGCTTCTTTAACACAATTAAGGTATAAACAGATGTCTTCTTTGAGGGGTCAAGCCGAGGTTTGGCAGACGGTATCTCAACACTGCCAACAGCCTTGAAACACTACTCAGTTCCTCACTGAACTCTCACACACACCAACATTCTCCACTATTTCTTACATCTGGTGCCCCGCTTTGTGAAGCCCTATGATTTGAGCTATAGTTTCAGGTGTTAGACTTCATTTTACCCATAATCAAACATGTATAGCCCCAAAACCAAAGGGAACACCGGACAAAAGATGTGCAACGCTTTCTCTCACCACGGCAGCCACGTGAGCACTGAGGAGTCACTGTGGAGTGTGGCAGCAGGCCATGACGTCATGCTAATGGCTGCTACCTGGCATAATGCACTGACGAAAAAAGATTCCCGTGTGGTAGGCCTTTGATTTTCATCACGGCATTATGCAGGGGCACTCGCCTGGCATAATGCTGTGACGAGCACTGTATGTAGAGGCTATCTGAGTGTGTAGTAGTTGCAGGGATTTACATAAGGAAGTTGTATATTGTCATCAACTAAATTATTAAAAAATTTTCAGTGAATATACATGTCTCTGTTGATAATTATCTATGCAACCTCTATAGCTTTGTCTCTGCTTCTTTGACACGTGCCCAGAATTTAACAATTCATTTACTGATTTGATTGTCCTCCAAAAATATTATCATAATTTATCTTGCCATTCCTTGGACTGGACATTTAATCTTGCCTCTTATCTTTTCTTGTCTCCCTCTACCAGTTGTATGGTTTGAGAATGAATTAGACATATAAATTCAGGTATGATACATGGATTGATCTTGATTGATCTAGGTGTCATGCTTTGCAGTACAAAAATTACCACATTTTCAGTCGCTTGGAACTGTACTTGTAGTATCAACTGAATGTAGATTGAGTGCACGTTTTTATTTTTTTAATAAAAATAAGCTTCCATTTTTCCAAATAATGTACATGTACTCCTAGTACAGTGCCACTGCAATGATTCATACTTTATTTCATATATCTGACCTTGAGATCTTTGTGTTTAACATTTTATTACCACCAACATTTATTTTACAGCAGTCTTATTTATTCGCAGTTGTCTGCACGTCGCCATGTTACTGGAAGTGGTGCCAGTGGCACACACACAAATGATGGGCAACTGAGCAGAGAGGAAGTAGAACGGCGCCTTGCTGCCAGACAACCCATGAATGACTTCACAACTACAACAGTGTCACTTACCTTGCCCAATCAGCTTTTTTCAGACAATATTATGGAGGGGTGAGTAAATGGGATGCTATAGGATTTAGGAGTAGAAATGGAAATTAGCTGTGATTTTGTTTAGTTAAGTTGCATTCAAATCCAGATTCACTTTGCAATTTTCTTATTAGTAATGCAGTTTTGCACTGTACAGCAAGTTGGGCCACACAGTAACTATGCAATACCCTTTTCATAACATTTCTATTCAATCATCTGTTTACATTTTATTTTTACTCTGCTTCCACCAGTGCAAATAAATGCTTTCCCCAATTCATTCTGTAGTAATCCCTCCATTATCGAAACACAGAAACTCTATAATAACCTTCATTCAAATTAATTTAGACTCATTCATTTGGAATTTCCAGTGACAGTCAAAATTGTCCCTAAAAGCATATCATCATACATTTTTATTTCCACTTCATCTTGGTCATCAGACTCTTAATGCACCCTAGTGAGGACACCTCACAGCACATACTCATGCTTGTTCTTTCACTCTTACATGCGATTTGATTTTTGCTTATCTTTCCCTAGATTTACTTTTCTATTTCCCTTTATAATGGCACAAACTGCTAGAGAAGTTACCTGATGCTGGATTCTTAATTTTTTTATACATTAGATTCATTATGAAGTGAATTTGTTTAATTTAGATTAATTTTGCACTCACAGCTATGCCAAGACAAAGTCTCAACCAACTGGTGATTGGCTGATACAAAAACATCTTTGACTGCCTCATCAAAGAACATCCGTAAACGGTTGGCTGACAATTAGTTTTTCTGGATTTTAATGCCTTTGGATTTTTGTGCATTTTGCTTTTTCCCTTCAGAATCCTTTTCCTTTTTGTGGCTGGTCTATTTATGATAGATGTTGCTTATACCCCAAATGCTAAAGCTGTTAACTTTCTCATCAGAGATTAGAAGAAATATATTGGTAGTTTACACATGAACTGTTTGGTACAGTATCTGGAACATTTCTTTCTTAAATTATCCAGTGACTTTACCTTTACAAATCTCTCTTCAAAATCATGTTTAGTAGTAGCAAGATACAATATGAGATGCTCAGATGAGACATCAATTTACAAAAATGACTTTTCATGTTTAATTACTATAAACATTCTGTTATTAAAAAGTTCCAATTATTATTTTAGATGTGCATATTTTGATACCACAGTTAAGTAACTTGTATAGAGATTTATTTTATTTAAGGCATATAGCTTTGGATTTTGTAAAATAATTTTTCTGGATTAGACATACAATTTCTCCAGATATTGATTTACTTTTCTAATGTAGTTTTTTCTATGTCCTCACCTTAGTTTTCTCTTGTTCTTCCTATGTCCCAACCTTAGTTACCTCTTGTTCTTCCATTTACACTAGGTATCTCTGGAAGGGGCATACCTCTACTTTTAGCTAGTGTCCCCTCAAAGAAGGTTCCTTGATGTTGGTAAAGGGCTCTTGATCTAAGGAAATTAACCTCACTCTTTTCTTGGATTGAACCTGATTGCCTTCCATTTCCCTAAGGCACTGTGTGACCCTTACAGGCTTAGTGCATCCCCCATGGGTGATAATATATCTCTAATGCACCAAATCTGCACTTGGGAAAAGAGCCCTATGACAGTGTTTTGGTCTTGCTTGAACCATTATCAAGTCAAGATGGACCAAAACATTGTCATAAAATTCATCTTATAATTGTGGTCTTTTGGTGTAATGTTCCATACATGGTATTGCGGCATTCTATTCTTTCGTAATGTATCTATCGTGTTTCACAGTTTCATTTCGGATCAGGTCAAACTTGTGTTGTATTTTAGTAAAAATAATTGTTATTTAGCAGTGTAGATCTATATTTACCATTGTAACAAATAAACCATGGTACAGGCAGAAATTGAACTTGCGGCTAATAAGTCGCTAAACTCCAGACCATCATATTAGCTACTGGGCCAGTTTTACGACTTGCTAGCCGCGAGTTCAATCCCTACCTGTACCGTGGTTTATTTGCGATCATGTCCTTACGATTTCTTGAGTCTTGGAACAAATACAAATCCCACATGCTTTAAGGCTGAATTTTGTAATGAATTATCATTGTTGACAAATTCTTCTATCCCACAAAATAAGTAAAATAAATTACTTTTATCAAAAAAAAAAAACTGTGTCCATTGTCAGCCAACTGCAAATGACACATGCTGATAATTGTAATGGATACATTATTAAAAATGACATTCTCCCATACTTTAAGGATAAATTTAATAATAAATTGGTAATTTCCACATATGTACTTTTCTAGCATATTTTATTTAAATTATCTTTATCTAAGCATTATGCAGTATACAGTGGAACCTCTGTACGCGACCTTAATTCATTCTAGAATGCTGTTCGAGTGCCGATCCGTTTGAGTATCGAACAAGTTCTTCCCAACCAATTTTCTGTTTGGCTGGCTGTTATCACTAATCTTCGTAGGCCCCATGGTGACTTATTTATACAAATAATACAAAAAACGCCAAAAAATGCAAAGAAACACGAAATAGTTTACAGCAAAGTTCTGGCAGGTCGTATTTGTTTGGTCCAGTGCTGAGCTTTGTTCGAGTAGGGAGCTGGTCGTATACTGAGGTTTCACTGTATTTCTGTAAAATGTTACTCGTGTTAGTTATTCTGTGCAAGGAATGGTGGAAACTCAATCCTCCATCCACTATTTAAAGATAGATACACTACTCTTCCGTCCAGCTAGGCTAGATGGGAAGAATATCTTGTACCTCAACAGTTGGAAGAGGAGCTACTGTGTCTGTTGATAACTTAAACTAGGTTTCACTGCAGCACATTACATTTTGTGACTTCTAAAATGTGGACTAGTTATAGTTCTACAATAGTTCTGTTTGTTGGTGGCTGATCGAACGCCTACAGGATGGGTATGGGGTGTGTAAAAGCTTCCGAGTAGCATCATTAAGCGAATACTTTGGGTAGCTTTAAAAATAAGCAAGGCAGGTACATGAGGGGGAGTAATTAACTGAGCATTTCTTCTATAGTCTTGTTACAGGATTCACCAGTGAACTTTATCATATGTAGGCTATAATTACCCACTCCCATGACATCTAAGGTGATATACAGCACATTATACACTTGGGTATAGCCCACACTGTGCCCTCATTGGGAGGGTGGCGGTGGTGTATGCAAAGTTGCTGCCTCGCCCAATTTTTTAATGTCTACCATTCTTGAATAATTGGCTGCAAAACAATGAGCCAGACACACGAGTAACAAAAAATATACAAAATATCAATGTATGTAGTGAAAAATAAATATAATTTAGCTTTAAAAAATTTTAATTTATTAAATATACATTTGGTGAAAAAATAGCTAAATGTTTAAGCTGGAAATTTAAGTTATAGCACACTGCCTGAGGACTCAAGGAGTTCAGATTAACTGGTTTAAATTGTATACCAATTTGATATTTTAATATCTTGTAAACACCTTAAGATAATTAAGATCAATTTGGGATGTGGACATAGTAGTCCAATGTGTAAATGCCATTTACTTTAAAAATAACATAATTATTATACAACTTCTGTCATTTTCTTCAGTTTTCACGGGGAAAGGGGAGGGTTTGTTCATAATTAATTTCATGAATTTGGCCTTACAAATTTTATTTGAAATTAATATGTTTGTTTTTGGGCACCATCATACACCATACAGGTTTCTGGCCCTAATACAACTACAGTATTACTGTTTACAGCAGTAATACTGCATACATTTTTGAACTGTCAGTTGATATTGTATACCAAGCACTTATATGGAATCCCTGAATGCCTACTATAACAATTTCTCTGGTAAGGGAAATGATCATAGTGTTGAGTGTAGGTCCTGAATTAGTTTCTTCTTGAAACCCTGAGGATTCTTCAAATTGTAACCCGCATTACAGTATGTCACTTGGTTGTCTCTTGCTCTCTTCTAAATTATTACAACCAGGGGCAAGTGCTAAATCCATAGGGGTCGTACAGTTCATGGGAAATGGAAGGCAATCTGGTTTGGTCCAAGGAAGGGTAGGATAGTGCCACTTCCTACATCCGAGCACCTCATATGAGGGGCTCTCCATTAGACTACTGTTTCTTAAATTTTTAGATTTTAATTTTCAGTGGGCTTCTTATAGTTTGTAAGGTGACGGAAACAGTGACATATGATTTAAATTATGACTAATGTACCATACTTCAATTATTCCACTTCTGCCCTGTCTTGTTGTCTTTTTAAAAGAGCTACCAGTTATTGTTTGAGATACTCTACAGTATTCTTATTTTTCAGGCCTGGAACTAACATTTTCTCTGTATGCTTTGCGTGGGCTGGTTTTATACCCTTACCTGTTGTTGAGTATTAGAGACTTTTTGCAGTTAGGCCATCTGTGAGGAGTTTGTTAAAATGGTGATTTTTTTTCACAAAAGACTAGGCCAATACAAAAATAACTTCTTTTCCCTCCCTGTCTGGTGTTAAATTTTTGTCTATTGGCTACAGGTAGTCATAGGGTTGAGGTGATGCACCAACATTTGGGACAGATGCTTCCTAGTATTAATTGTTTGTGCGAGCTAACTATAAATAATTCATTGTTGCCCATTGTTCATGGTGAATTTGTCTGTTTGCTAGTAATGGGGTATAAAAGACACCAATTGTCTTTAGACCAGCCAAAACGAGAATAAAAAGAAACTGAGGCTTTAAACCTATTTCTTAGTTTTCAGTTACAGTAAATATTTTTCATTTATACAGTAATTCACAGTGGCTGCTAATGTTTGCAGTATGTTAATAAAAGTTGTTGCTGCCAAAATGTAAATATTTTAGTATAAATTTGTTGCATTTATGTGGAATTTGATTAAGAATGTGACTTGGCTTCACAGACTATCACAGCTCATGGATTATATTCTACTGTAACTTGTTGATGCTTTTGCTGTGAGACTGATTTTTGGAAGTACATGTATTGTAATATATTTTTGTATTACAGTACTATTTATGTAATGTTTTCATAATTTGTAGTGCTGCAGTTCCAGCCATCTGACTTGCAGGTGAAAGTAAAGGGTTGAAATCATATTGAATGGCATATATCAGAGGCCATATTCTGAGAGGGTAACTCAGTCTTGTTTATTGAGCAGTAAGGAAAACTTCAGACCAAGGCCCTTCAAAGAAAGTGCCTTGATGACGAACTGTTGATCCATGAATTAGAGCAACCTTCCCTTTCCTTGGAATTTACCTGATTGCCTTCAATTCTCCAGGCACTGTATGACCCTTGTGGGCTTAGGGCTTTCCCCTGAATATAGCATTTAGAATAAGGCCTCAAAATTGTATTTTTGTGAGTAACTTTTTTCTCTTTTCAGGGACTTCATGGAAGAAGAAGTAGAAACCTCACCCAGTAATATTGATGACGATGTCACAATAGACAATTATGACTGAACAGGAATTAAATTCACCACAAGCACACTGGCATTGCAGTTAACACTGGGTAAATAGTCCCCTCAGAAAAAGGCATTCAAAAAACTTTTTGAGTAAAAGTTGTTCCTAAGTGTTCTTTTGGATTTTACTTACCATGAGTTTTATATCGAACTGACAAATTAGTACATTTTAGAAAGTGTAATTCCAAAAATGGATCCATAAAATACACAAATTTAACATTTTTGTAAGCAGTATAAGTGTTTTTGTTAGGAAGGAAAGTATACTGTACTATTGTATTGTATTTATCAAAGGAAGAGAAAGTAGTTTTATTGGTGTTACTTTTGGTTACATTCATCCAACATGTCTGCATTATTATAATCAATAACAAAAAAGGAACAATACACACATAATCCGCACATAGAAGAGAGGAGCTTACGACAACGTTTTGGTCCGACTTGGACCATTTACAAAGTTACACTGACTTTGTAAATGATCCAAGTTGGACCGAAATGTCGTCATATGCTCTTCTCTTCTATGTGTGGGTTATTTGTGTATTATTATAATCAAATTAAGTGCTAAACCCATAAGGGTCACATAACGCTGCTGGGAGACATGTGCGAATGTACAAAGGTCAAGAATAAGTGAGAGGTAGGGGGTGCTGATACAAGCATCAAAGGTGGGACTTTCAGGAACTTCAGTAAGTGTGTTGGGGCAGTTAAGATGTTGAAAGTGGATCCTGCATGCACTCTGGACACACTGTGGCCTGATAGTCCTTACAGTGGTGTTGGTTGTTTCTCCACATGATATCCACGAGTTGCATGTGTCCAATACATAAACATGAGAATGTGGTCCCCCAATCCCTACAGAATGGTAGGAATATGGTCCAAATCCTAAGCATGGTTTAATAAATAATAACTTCTTGTGGTCTAATTCAGACAAACGTTGTTGCTAGCAGTTGAGGTGGTGAGAGCACTGAAAAATAGTCCTAGTAAGGAATTCCCTATAGGAAATTTGAAGGTAATGCATAGCTGATGGATTGGCTAAGCCTACATGTTCATCATCCTGAACATTGGTGTGTCCAGAGTCCCAGCAGAATAAAATTTCTTGGTGCACGTTAGAAATGTGACACAAGTAAAGCTATGTATGAAGGATGAGGGGTCAAATTTCTGGGCTCATGCCCAGCTGTAAGTAGTTGTTGACTTGCTCATGTCTTGCAGGGTGGTGCCTTGATGCCAGTAGGGGGAGTATGTCCTTCATCCAAAGTCGTCACCACTAACACCCTTAATTTTATCTTTCTTCCATGATGACAGCCCCATCTTTGACTCGGACTTCCTTTTTGACAGCAGCCGATTTATTACACAAACTTAGACAATACTTCCTGTAGCACTTCTCACAGCCCTTTCTAACTTTATTATTATCTCCACCCTTGCTACTACTCTGCTCCAGCAACACCCCCTGCCCTGCAGTGTTGTATGACCCTAGTGGGTTTAGTGCTTGGTTTTGATTATAATAACGATATCCAAAGGACTGGAGCTATCCTCATTCATTACTTAAGTAAAATCTGATTGCCTCCCATTCCCCAAGGCATTCCATGATCCCTGTGGATTTAGCATTCACCCTATGAAGACCCTTGTCGGTTTAGCACTTTATTTGATTATAATAGTGCACTCGCCCTATGAAATAGGTAAAAATAACTGTACTCTTGTAGAGAGAATGGAGCGAAACAGAATGACTTCAAGAGTGTATCAGTCTGTAGTGGAAGGAAGGCAGGGTAGGGGTTGGCCTAGGAAAGGTTGGAGGGAGGGGGTAAAGGTTTTGTGTGCGAGGGGCTTGGACTTCCAGCAGGCATGCGTGAGCGTGTTTGATAGAAGTGAATGGAGACAAATGGTTTTTAATACTCGACATGCTGTTGGAGTGTGAGCAAAGTAACATTTATGAAGGGATTCAGGGAAACCGGCAGGCCGGACTTGAGTCCTGGAGATGGGAAGTACAGTGCCTGCACTCTGAGGGAGGGGTGTTAATGTTGCAGTTTAAAAACTGTAGTATAAAGCACCCTTCTGGCAAGACAGTGATGGATTGAATGATGGTGAAAGTTTTTCTTTTTCAGGCCACCCTGCCTTGGTGGGAATCGGCCAGTGTGTTAATAATAATAAAAAAAACTGTACTCTTAACTCCACTTCCTTTATGGGCATGGGGGGGGATGGCTCTTCAAGTGAGGTTCCTTGATGTAGGTGAAGGGCTTTTCAGCTAAAAAACTAACTACTTGTTTCCTTGGGTTGAACCTGATTACCTTTCATTTCCTGAAACTGTAAGGCCCCCTAAGGGTTTAATTTCTCTTTCCTCCATGAATGTAATAATAATGGTATTATTATTACATTCATCTACCTCCATCTACCATTATTGACCCTTGTGGGTCAATAATGGTAGGTAGAGGAAAGTATTCTCTTGTTCTTGAAATTGCTGGTGTGATACTAGCCAACTGCATTGATGATGAGTTAAGTGGGAGCCACTTAACTCAGGCTTCCCATGGGCAACATTTGTCTCCTGACTCGTCAGTATCTGTCAGGGGTGGATCTACTATGAAACTAATGAAGCTTAAACTTCAGGGTCCCTAATCCCAAAGAGCCCCAAAAGGTACCTTAGTTGATACTGTGTAAAAATTTTGGGTCTACTGTATGGGATGGGGTTAGGAAGGGGTTCCCCATAACAGTTCAAGCTTCAGGGGCCTCTCAATTACAGTATCGAAAAAATGCACAAAACACAGTTGGGTCATAAAGCTGACCGCATCAGAGCTATCCAGCACAGGAAACCCTGTCCAGACTAAACTCACTAGCTCTGATGTATAAAGGAAGACTAAAGGGGTGGGTAACGCACTTTCCTCCTACCCAGGTAAAAGTGATTAGCATCAGGGAGAGAAGGAAGAGACGTACAATTAGTCAATAACAAAGTTAATGCACAATTTGAACTAGGTTTGCAATACAGTAGCTCAAGCAGCATTAACCTTCAAATTGTGTTGCATACAGAGCAATGTTATTTCCAGGTATGACGAAGTTGTGGAAAAAAAAAAGTTCTTGCAAATGAAAAAGGGTGCATTGTTGGATCAGAAAAGAAATACTTATGTTTTTGTGGTGTGTTTTAGTTGGTAGAAATCATTTTTCAGTTTTTTACTGTATGCAATATCTAACACTAAATACCACATTCTGCAATGAAAAGATATTTGAAGTATTCTTAGTATTGTAAATAGGCCAGAAAGCACAATGCACCATAACAATATCAATATTCATAAATTTGTAAAGAGCTTTCTTAGTTTTAAGTGTCATGTAGCAAGTCCTGAGATGGATGGCACTGTTGTATCTTGTGCTGGACTGGCATTTACTGTATTTCATCCTTGGTCTTATTGCCATTGTTGTTCCCTTCATAACCAGGAAAGGTCCTCTGTTATAACTCCTTACCATCACTGATGTCTGTATTCCACAGTATTTGCTGCATTTCATAACAAAGGTTGGTGTGTTGGCCAGCCATTGTTTACTGTGGTATTACCCACCAAACCCTACACCTACCCACATGGCATATATCTCTTTTCCTAAGAGGGATGAAGTGGCTGGCATTCCAAACACAGCAGACCAAAAATGTCAATGCACAGCAAGTTAGAGGCCTAGAAAAAATTGTGCATACAAGTATGTTGAACATAGCCTGGTGCCCTGTGTACTAGTATGTCAAACACATTTAAGAGTTAAAACAGCTGCAGATGAATTGATAACTTTTTGTACTGGTGACTGAGGAACTAGTAGCAGTACACTGTACTTCGTATTTACACAAAACAATTCATGTAAATAGAAATTGTTTCTATGAATAAGAGACTAGAACAGTTCACAAATAATCCACACTTAGAGGAAACTTCAGACATTTTGATGTGTCCTTGACGACTGTTAAGTCATCATAAATTTGAGATAATGGTTCTACTTCTAAAAACTGATGAAGTTTGTTTAATACAATGATTAAGTTTTTTGATCTCCAAACTTTTATTATTATTATCCAATATATGCAGCTGACACTAAAAGACAGTAGGGCAGTGTAGAATTCTTTATTGACTGGCCACTTATTACAAAAAGATTTTTACCTGGCCGAATTCTCACTTCACAACATATTAAAGACCCCCAGTCTGTGTACTGAAATTAATGCTCAGGCTCTACTGGGGCATGAGCAATATTTATATTTCTTACAAACAATATTTCATGCCTATAATTTGTTTCTCTAGAAATTATTTAAGAATGTGACCCCCTTGAGTGAGCTTATTTCTTCAGCTGTATTATATAAAAAAATTTCAAATAAATCCCCCCCATCAATGTTTTATGGTTTACACTTACATTAATCTTACAGTTTGACTTCTGTTACCAGTATGGTGTGGATGGATGACTATTCACCATTTATAATGTTTGTGAAGCTTTTCATTATTGTATCACACTAAACCAAGTGCATTTTACTATTTAATAAAAAAAGCCAAGAATATAATGAAAAGCAATAGTAAATATGAATAAATATAATAATTTTGGAGGAACATGTGAGAAACAAAATAAAATTTTCATATACTGTAAGTGCATACCACAATTATGCTCAAATATTGTGAAATCACATCAATGTGAATCCATATTTGATAAAAAAAAAATTGCATTCTAAATCCACAAATACTTTACTAGAAGCAAATTAACTTGTAACATTATTGCCATTTCTAACCAATAAGCAATTTAGAGAACTGTTCATCCAGGGTCAGTCTCTCTTTAAGTACTCATCCATAGGGAGAGAAAGAGCAAAGACAGGGCTGGAGTTTAGTATTCTCTTATTTGTCTGCCTTCACTCTTTGCAGCATTACCAAACATGGTCAAAAATAGCCTCTGTGTTGATAATTGGCAAAGGCCAATATTATCTGAAATAGGAATATAGGTAACTAATGGTTTCTATAGTTGCTACATTCTCCCAAGTTGGTTTTGCTGAAACAATACTTTTACTGCATTAATGCAGCACTGTATGCCCCTTCCAGGTTTAGTGCTCAAGTTGATTTTAATATCAGTATGGCACCAATGGTAATTTACTTTCATGGTGATAATTTAGTTGATAGTAATATTTTAAAAAAATAT